GAGAGAGAGAGAGAGAGAGAGAGAGAGAGAGAGAGAGAGAGAGAGAGAGAGAGAGGTGATGGACTGTTCAGCGGCTCTCGGCGTCTTTCATTGGATGAGCTCATATTTTCATATTGTGCAGGTCGTAAGAAAAATAAAATAATGAAAAGAATCTGAAAAAAAAAAAAAGAAAGTATAGATGATTTTATGAAGTTATGAGAAAATCAATTAAGTTGAATGAACTTGTGGATGGCTGGAGTCCTGAGCAGCTCCTGACAGTTTTGGAAAAGGTAGTTGCGGAAGTAGACAGATTCTCTTGGCCCGTGTGGCTGAATGGCATGTGCTTGTTACTGAACAAATCACGCGTTCAAGTCCCTGATGGAAATGCGATGGATAAAATAAAAATAAATGTTTTAGGGGCTACCTTCTTTGAAAGAAGGAAATGGAGGGGTTCACAAATTCACAGGTTCATCATGCGTCGTGTAGAGAGTATCGCCTTCGATGTCGTGTCCGTCCGTTTCTTTCTATTGTCACTGAAGTGTTTTTGTCACTTTTTGAAGAATTATATTTCTTTGGCAGATGTTTGTGAAGAGGGTGTTTTTGTTTTCACAACGGGAAGACAAGATTGTCCGAGTCGCGTGTTTTGCTGTGTGCCTGTGAATTTCACCCTTCGTCTGAGAACCTGTGAAAGGGAGGGGAAGGGTTGAAGGATGGATGGAGAGGGGTGGGTGAAAAATAGTCCCATCTCAACAAATAAATGGTTGGTGGGGGCTGATCCTTGTGTTGAAAAAATGTAGGAGACTGTCGGGACCCGGTTTCCAGAAGGTGCCGCTCCCCACGAAGAGACCGGGGCATGGGCCCGCTGGAGGGAGATGCTCTTATCACTCACGCTAGCAGACCCAGTCCAAATTTCTAAAAAAAAAGAAAAGAAGAAAAAGTAGACTGTTGGGAAAGGGCTTTTTTTTTTTTTTTTTTACTTGCAAGGATTAAGAGAAATGCTGGCCATAGGTAATTGCAAGGAATATGAGTGAGAAGTTGAGAACGATATACAGAAAACCAGGTTGGGAAAAAAATCACGCAGATGTCCAAGTAGTCGTGTACAAGAAGAGAGCACAAATGCACCGAGATCCCATCCAAATAAGAACAATACAATGAAGCAACGTAGCACCGTGTTCGCGTTCGGAGGCGAACGCGAACATGTTCGCCCGAACGCGAACAAGCGCCAAAAACCCTCCGAACGCGAACATAAAAACATATTAAAAAAAAAAAAGTTTTCAGAAAAATCTGAAAAAAATATATGTTATGCTAGCTTTCCCGGGGCGCCCGGCCGGGCGCCCCGGGCACCCCGCCCGGGTAGGGACCATGCCCGGGGTACCCCGGGCACGCTAAAAAACC